GTAGGTAGTAGTACACACACACACACACACACACACACACACACACACACACACACACACACACACACACACACACACGGCTTAGAAATGGAATAATATCTGACAGAACAGGAACTCCGAGTTGCATTACAAAGATATAGTTTTACAATGCAAGGCAGTGGAGGATGGGGAGAAGAACCCATGAAAACAACAGGAGTAAATGATTGTCTTTGTTCAAACTATGGAGCCTCTGTTATTATTTATAACCTTCATAAATTAGAGCCTGTGTGTGCATCTCTGCCTCTTTATCGCCCTCCTGTCTAAGAAAGGCCAACACTACTGTATGTGCTGAAGTGTTGGCAGGACACATTTCACTTTGCACTCTGTACTTTGTTTACTTTGATCATTAGAGTAAGAGTTTATTTAAGTTAACAAGTCATCTGTCAGACCCTCTCAGATCATATGTAGCATTTGTCTCCGCAGAAGAACACAGGATCCGTAATCATTCTTACTGTTGGCGTCAACCTGTTTCCCCCTCACCCTCAGATTGTCATGGTAACGTGTGTCTCAGGTCTGCAGGCAGATGTGGAGTTGATGAAGGCTTCGGCAGAGAGACACAAAGAACTTCTGGTTGAGAAAGAGAGGGAGTTAGTGAGGAGGGTGCAGGCTGCCCGTGAGGAGGAGCTCCGGAAAACTGCCATCCTGCACGAGGAGAAGTGAGAATCCCCTCAAAAAGCTAATTTACTGGTCTTCCTCTCTGCAACTCGTCTTTGTATCTGTATTTACTTGTCATGCTTTCTGTTGTGAGGTTGGAGGTGGAGAGCCGTCTTGCAGCTCTGGAGCAGCAGAGGGCGCTGCAGGCTGCTGCAGAGCACGGCCAGCAGGAGGAGTGCGAGCAGCGGCTCCGGAGCTGCCAACAGGCCGAGGAGTCTGTCCGCAGAGAGCTGCTCTCCCTCAGGTCAGCAGGACACTCGCCTGTTATATCCACCAGGGGGCTGTTTCCAGCTTATTGCTGACATTCTGGCTGCCTAAAGGTTTAGTTATCTTTGACATGCAATCAATAACGTGCACGTAAAGGCCACAGTTTATTTCCTGCAACAAATGTAGAAGAAAGGAAACTGGAGTTTGGGAGATGTTGGCTATGTTACCTTGTTGAATAATCTCCCACTTTCCCTTCTATCCTTAATTTCTACAAATGTTTGTGGTGAATTGCTAAAAAATAATGGCTTGTGAGCATGTTCCTGCAGTATTATACTTTTTTTATTTTATTAAAATTACAGCGCAAGTATTGTGTGAAATAGGTCCATGTTCCTTTTCAAATCATACAAAGAAAAATTGCTTTTGTTTGTGACGGCATGTCCTTTCATCTCTAACTCATTATGACACTCAGTGCCTCGTGTTGTGGGTTACAGAGGCAAGCTCCAGCTGCAGAGCGTCCAGCAGGAGGAACTGGAGAGGCAGAGAGCAGAGACGGCTGACCTGCAGCAGGTACCAGCCTCCACACCCCCATGTGTGACTGTCACACAGCCTGGCCAGGGTGTAGGTCTGAAATCAACGTGTTTTTTTCTGACCCAACAGCAGAACCAGGAACTAGGTGTTCAGCTTGGCACGCTGTCGCACTCTGAGAGCGAGCTGCTGGAGGCAAACCAGCGCCTGAGAGAAACCCTGGAGCGCCTGAGGGAGGACGTGAGGGGGGCTCGGGCTCAGGCTGAGAGGAGCCAGCAGGAGGCAGAGAGGTGTGGCTGCTGCCTCACACTGTCTTTGTTACTTTAGTGGGGGTTTACTGGGGAGGCCCCAAACTGTGGAGCAGCCTCCCATTGGATATTAGAACAGCAAACTGAATTTTTTAAGTAAATAAAAGTCTTATCTTTTTAATTTGGGGTAATTTCAGTGGTATCACTGTTCATGTTGTATTGTTTTATGGTTCTGTGATATAACTCTTTCTGTTTTACATTTTATTTGTATAACTTTGTATAACTCTTATTTGTATGTGTCTTGCATTGTAAAGCACTTTGGGCTGCACCTTGCATGAAAGGTGCTACATAAATAAAGTGTATTATTATTATTATTCCATGTTTACTTAGGATAGAGGGTTACCAACATAGAAATGCAATGTAGATGATGCGCCTACTAAACACTGTTGTGTGCTGCCCTCCCTCCAGGCTGGTGGAGGAGCGCCGGGTGGAGTGGTTGGAGGAGAAACACAAACTGCAGGAGCGAGACGCTGAGCTGCAGCACAAATACTCTCAGGTGAAGGAGAAGCTGCAGAGGGCGGCGGCGGCACAGAAGAAGGTACCACTGCTGTGACACTCTTCTCATTTAACATTCACACTCAGAGAACAGCTCAGGGTGAGGGAGTCAGGGTGCAGGGAGTTAGGGGGGGAAGTCAGGGTGCAGAGAGTCAGGGTGCAGGGAGTCAGGGTGCAGGGAGTCAGGGGGGGAAGTCAGGGTGCAGAGAGTCAGGGTGCAGGGAGTCAGGGGGGGAGTCAGGGTGCAGAGAGTCAGGGTGCAGAGAGTCAGGG